AAAATACCTTTAAAATTATGCATTTTTAAAAATTCTAAATAGTATAAATAAGTCACACTCTATTTCTATACAAAATTCTTTCCAGTGCTAATGGTAATATTAGCCGTTTTTCCTAGTAAGAAAATATTCGGCATTCATAGATCGAGTATCCAGTGCTGCTTTTGGTTGAAATTCATAAAATCTTTCTCTTAAAACAATTTTTCAGGAAAATAGGTTTCTCATATCCAATGTTATCGCTTTTTACAGAATTGATGGTGGCTTCCTTCCTAACCTTTTGTTTGAAGTAGTGTAGAACGTCAACATCTTGACATATTTACCATAGGAATAGCGATCGAGTAGCGATTGGCTTACGATGTCGCGTCTGTGGGAGAGAGGTGGCAGTATGGAGAGTAAGTCTTCCCGCCACACGGCCACGAAAATAATTTTGAATTCTGTCAATGCTAGAAATGTGAGCTGAGCAACCGCAACACAGAAATGGCGGCAATACTCTATTTTTAGTCTAATCTGGCTCTTGTAAAGATAAAGCTATTGACCATTCCTCTTTGGCAAGTTAATAGACGCTTGTTTACAGAAAGCATAGCGAGTATTTACTAAGCACACAGTGATCAGTGAAATCAGTACCAATGATCTGTGAGATGAGCTTTATAGCCTGGATTAATATTTATCTATAGAAAGAATATTGTGTAGTTATTAAACTTAGTATGACACAAGACATTGAGTGAGAGGGGATTTCACTATAATTGTAATGATCTGCAAACTACCTTACTATTGGTGAGGCCTTATATTTTTATTTATTAAGATCAACTTAGTACTACATATACGCAATATCGAATACACTATGGAAAGAAAAGTTAGTTTGTCTGTCAATGCTTCTCAGTGAAGGACTGCTTAAAATGCGCTCTTGATACATTGTACAGGGTGTGCCAGGTATTTGAGAACACATAATTAGCGGCCAATAAATGAAAGACGACCGAACGTAATGTCTTCCATACGATAGAGATAAAGAAAAAACAGTGGATAACCTACTTATTAAATGAGTTTCACAAGAGGAAGTGGGAGGGATAGTAAAAAACAAAATCATTGTTCGTAGCTACAACAGATAGGAAGATGTGGGGAGCCATGATCAATCGCATACTAAAGGAATACAGCACACAGATGAAGAATATTTTTCTATTGAATATCTTTGTTCTAAATTACCTGGCGCACCCCTGTAATGCCGTTAGGGGACTGTGTAAATGAACAGCGATACACCTACAAAAAGACAAGCATATTTTTTAAGCACTCGTGTGGCCTCGGTGAACATCCAATGCTGTTAACAAGAGAAGACTCTCGTCTGAATTTTTCGTACCCGCGAAATTATTCCTGTGGGAGCAACAAGATCTGAGTGGCACCTTTCAAGCACAAGTCAGTTCTAAGGCAGCCATATGGTTAAATGGTTGCAGTCGACTAATAGAAAAATCAGCCATGTAGATCGTCGCACTTTACCCATTGAGAATAGTTTTTTCGCTGATTTCTTTTTAATTACTTTATTATTATTATTATTATTTATTTATCACTGGAATTATTACAGTTTAAGAACATTGGAACGCCATTTTCTGCTTGGATGGTGATGTTAAAGAAAGTTTCACCCATTCAGTTGCTGATGAGTAACTGTTTAAGGACTCCAAATATTGTTGGTAAAAAGAGAACAAGAATACACACACACACACACACACATATATATATATATATATATATATATATATATAGATAGATAGATAGATAGATAATATTAGTGGTCAATATATATATATATATATATATATATATATATATATATATATATATATATATATATATACAAGAGGATAGAATCCAGTTAGAGCTCAATGTCCAGGGCAGAGCAAGAATATAATATAAAAAGGCTGAAACACTAATATTCCATGGTTATAATTTATTACATTAGAATCGTAATCACGATCCAATTCATCAGACATACAACCTTGTATGTAGGTCTGATGAATTGGATCGTGATTACGATTCAAGTGTAATGAATTATAACCATGGAATGTTAGAGTTTCAACCTTATGAAATGGACAAAGTCTGACAATTATTTGAAGACATTTTTTTGTTTTAACATTCTTTTTATAGATACAAATATTTATGTAAATGTTCTGTTTATAATAAATGTTTATATTAAATATTTGTATCTATAAAAAGAATGTATAAACATAAAAATGTCTTAAAATAATTATCGGACTTTGTCCATTTCATAATGTGTGACGTGATTTATTTACATTTGGATACGCTTTGAGCAGATATGAATGTACGTGAGAGATTCATGGAAGATTGAAGTTTAAAGGCAGTAAATTCGACCTTGCTAACCGAACGATCCTCTTTTGCTGAAACGGTTAAAGGCGCGTCAAGCTATCTGACGGTTCCGTATAGGATACAGGTTCGATTCCTGTCGGAGGACGAATGTTTTCTGTGAAAATTTCTCGGACATTCAGGCCGGTAAATGTTGTTTAATATTGTTTATTATAAACAGAGCATTTACTTAAATATTTGTATCTATAAAAAGAATGTATAAACATAAAAATGTCTTAAATATATATATATATATATGTGTGTGTGAGCATATATGAAACTTAATACTGTCAGCAAATGTTTAATATTTGCAAAACTAAAAAGCACTCAGAAAGCCTATACGTCCACCAATGCCACGGTTACCAATAAAAAAATGAAAAACTGTTCATAGATACAATGCAGAGAAGGTAACTATATAAAATGAGATTTTACATGCATATAGAGATGTTGATTTAATGTATGAAATATCGCTCAATTTAAAAATTCGTGGATTTGCTTCAGAATTAAAACACATTTTCCTTGGCCTGTATCCCTCTCTCCCACAAATCTCATAGAAATTCATTGAGAACATTTGGTGATATTGTGGCGACAAACACAAATACGAAAGTTCTGTCGAAATTCATTTACTCAGAAAAACAAGCAATTTTTCTTGGTTTGAATCCTGATTCTTTTAAAGTGTCTTTATACGATTTTCAGAAAAGGCCAAATGGCGCAACGGTTATCAGCATGGGAAACGGAATCGGTAAACTGGGTTTGAATTCCGGCTAAGATTGCTTGTATTCAACCCTGATTCCCTTTGTCAAATCATGAATCCATACATCGCTGGGCTCTCTTCCATGACTGGTCGTTTGCGTGATATGATAGTTGACAAAGAAAGTGTGTGAGTTAGCCCTTAGACAAACCGCTCTCAAATATCTACATTACCTGTCTAGTTAAGATTAATACTGTTACGATTATTGTTAACCTCGACTAGTCATATTTACTATAATTAGGCTGATTTCTAGTGACTTGGACATTTGTAACGCAGTGAAACGTCGTAAGGAAAAGAAACGAAACTTGATAAAAAAAATTGAACTCTAAACGTGTGTGTGGTCTCATGACTTTGATATTTTGGATAGGGATAAGATATGTACCGCGTTTAGTTAGGGCACTTCGATGTGATGTAATGGTTAGTGTTTTATACCGCACCTATGAACACTAATGGGTATGTCCCAATCGTCATAAATACGTTGGACACTATTGTAAGTCGGGTTTAATATATTAAGTAGTACACCATTAACAGTGGTTTACCTACTTCACGCCGCTGGCGAGTGTTGTATTTTGTTGATGTTATAAAGATTACCATTTCATTTCCAACCTCCATTTTGGTTATTTCTGATTCAGTAACCCTTCTTAGGTTACAACAGTTAGCTAGCTTGTCTTGCTAGCTCAATAACGACTGAGTAGTGAGTTCGGTCCTCACTGGGTGCTCTACAATTTCGGCCTTGTGCCATATCTAAGCTACGCTTAGTAAATCACTATACATCGTTTGGTCTGTCAAAAGCCACAAACGAAGTACCAAATAAAGGTCGAATTTACTACAGTAGATTAGATGTAGCTAGACTATATTGCGTTAATGCATCCTGAATTTTATCGCAATTTTTAAATGCTCTTTCCCGTTAGAGTGTAGACGATTATGACTCTCCACAGGTTCCTTCTCGTTATTATCTGTGAATTGTCACGGGGAAAGATAGTGAAATGATTTCATGTTGCCTTCCCTACAGTGTAGATTTTTCCTTCTATTAGATTGGTTGCTTACAGATCCCTGACCACTCTTCTATTTATTTAACCCATAGCTGGCGGGAGACGAGACGGAATATTTGTAGAAAAGTGAACAGACTGACCCGGAATTTGAACTCGATTCCACTGCGCCGATAATCGTTACGCTGCTCACACACCCACGTTATCGTTATATTGAATATATTTTAGTAAGGATCGACCTCACTACAGCAGTAATAGTAAATTTCACTTCAGTTTCATTTGATGTCAACATGGCGATCAACAAAATAAGTAGACATACACATGCATAAGGTGCGTACCTATTTAACAAGCTCTTCTAATGTAATGACTCAATCCATACTGAGCGCTCCACTGCTGTGGCCTTGTGCCTTATTAAACTTATTAGAAAATGACTAGATGTCAACAGTTGCGTCTTAGTGGGAAAGATTATCTCCCATAAGAAATTTGCTAGTAAATGGAGTGCACCCACTACTACGGCCTTGTGTCAGACTTGACAGTGGTTTGCGTGATTCTTTAACCTGGAGAGATATGCTGGCGGAAGTTTATTTTCTGGTGGGTCCAACCTCACCAGACTGGTCAATGGGTAGGGACAAAACGAATCCTTAGTCACTTAGTAGAGCAAATATGAATGACAAAGATCCTGGATTCAGTTGCATTGATAGACAAACAACTGACCGATGCATTGATAGCTACAACAGCATAGATCAACCAATTATAGTTCGATGAATACTGAGGTTGCTAGTAGAAGTTAGAACCATTTGTAATTAATTGTACTTACAATATAAGTGTAAAAGTAATTGAGAAACAGCATGACTAGTAAATTCAATTTTCCATACCACATCGACAAAGAATAGGAAAAACTAGATAATATTGAGCTCATTCGAATTATCTATCTATCTATCTATCTATCTATCTATCTATCTATCTATCTATCTATCTCAACCTTTTCATGTCTGTATCTGTCTATATTTCTGAGATGAGGTATTATGTATACTATTTACATTATTTGGACTATTGTCCTCATCTTTGTTGCCATATTTATCACAATGTTACGGCTGTTGTACGCTCCAGCCTTCTTCAGGTGGTTGGAATGTCGAACTGAACCCTTTATTTCGCTCGCTGGAGTAGACTGTTCTAGTTCCATATGCCATGTCTAATGGATATCAGTTATCACTGTTAATTCACCTCTCCAAGTTCTCCACTGCCTTAACCAGGTATTGAATTCATAACTCTTTGGGTCCCTTCACTGGATCTAATCAACACCTTTATCCACTGTGCCATATGTCCTTAAGGACATCTATCTATTTCAGCCTCTTCATAACTATTTATCTTTTTTCTTTCTTTTTTCTTTACTAATGTTCATCCAATACAAGGCCCAAGGGCCAGTCAAAGTAGAGGATTATTGTATGGAGTTATATTAGCGTAAGAAAGGGCGAGATAACAAGAAAGAGAGCTAATTCTAGACTTGAAGAGATCAAGATTTAATTAGCAAATAATATTTCAGAGTTCAGGAGGAGACGTTAGGAGTATAAGGTTGAAGTAGACTTTAGAAGAGACCAGAAACCCAATCCTAAACAGGGAACAAAGCTTAAAACCTCTACTCCTCTTCAAAAGACTGGGGAGGAGTATGAACCGGGCGATAGGCTATCAGTTTCTTCATATCTATCTATCTATCTATCTATCTATCTATCTATCTATCTATCTCGTTCTCTTCATATCTATCTATCTATCTATCTATCTATCTATCTATCTATCCATCTATCTATCTATCTATCTATCTATCTCAGTCTCTTCATATCTATCTATCTCTTCATGTCTATCAATCTCAGTCTCTTCATATCTATCTATCTATCTATCTATCTATCTATCTATCTATCTATCTATCTATCTCTCTTCATATCTATCTATTTATCTCTTCATGTCTATCAATTTATCTGTCTCCTCATATCTATCTATCTATCTATCTATCTATCTATCTATCTATCTATCTATCTATATCTATCTATCTCAGTCTCTTCATATCTATCTATCTCTTCATGTCTATCAATTTAGCTGTCTCTTCATATCTATCTATACCTGTTGATATCTATCTATCCCTATTCTTTTCTATCTATCTATCTATCTATCTATCTATCTATCTATCTATCTATCTCACAAAATTATAAAGAAAGCTTCTTTTAACCCTTAATACGGCTAAATGTTTCGTATTATTTCCGCCTCTCTTTTTTCTCTTCTAAAAATAGGAAGCTGTCATTGAATGTATCAATGGCGAGAATTCCTGCAAGACAAGTAAAAGAACGAGAAGATTCATTTTTTAAAGAGTAGATTTTAGTCATGATTTAGCTTTATATATATATATATATATATATATATATATATATATATATATATATATATATATATATATATATTAAACATTTAGATTATAAAAATACAGCAAAAGTTAATAAAACAAGTGTTAGGTTCCTAAATTTAATATTTTTAGCATCATGTTACTTCTTAAAGCATTTCATGCACATGGAGTTATGCGATTTTGGGATCAAATTGCCAGTATTTTTTGTCACTTTTTCTCATGCATATTCGCTCGCTGGAGTAGACTGTTCGAGTATGCAGTAGTTATAGTACTATCTTTGGCTTGTTCTCTCAGATTTATTTAAAGTCATATACTTCAGGAAATGACATCACCTCATGAATCCTAAAGTTGCCAATTAGTTATTTAGAATTGAATCATTAATCAATGATATCTGCAATGTTGGAAAAAGTTTAAATTATTAATTGATGATATCTGTTGATCTCACGTCGAACATCAATTGATAATGCCTGCCATTTAAGGTTTAAGTACATAAAACATAAGCGTTGTTCACTTTCCCTCTATTTTCACTTTCCTTATGTCACTCTTTTCCGTCTCTCTTTTCTCTTTCATTATGTCTCTCTCTTTCATTATGTCTCTCTTTTCCGTCTTTCTTTCTCTTCTCTTTCTTTATGTCTCTCTTTTTCACCTCTCTTCTCTCTTTCTTTATGTCTCACTTTTCCGTTTCTCTTCTCTCTTTCCTTATGTTTCTCTTTCCTGTTTGTCTCTCTCTTCTCTTTCCTTATGTCTCTCTTTTCCGTCTCTCTTTTCTCTTTCCTTATGCCTCACTTTTCCATTTATCTTCTCTCTTTCTTTATGTCTCTCTTTCCTTATATATCTCTTTTTTCCGTCCCTCTTTTCTCTTTCTCTGTCACTCTGTTCCGTCTCACTTTTGTCTCTCTTTTCTGTTATCTCTTTTCTTTTTCCTTGTCTCTCTCTTTTCCTTCTCTCTTTTCTCTTTCCTTATGCGTCTCTTTTACGTCTCTCTTTTCTTACGTCTCTTTCTGTTACTCTTTTCCTTGTGCTTATGTATATAAGACATAAATATAAATTTTGTTTTTACTATTTTATATATATATTTACTCTAATGATTTTTTTTTGTCTGGCACATGGTTACACGTATAGGAGCAACCACTGAAAACCTAGCTCCCTGTGGGTGTGACAATCTGCGAGACGTATTTGCTAACTACTGCTTCATAGCGAAACGTATAGAACTGAACTCTGTGATTATATCAGGTTCAACGGCATACAGATAGTAAGTGCAGACCTAGCTGCATTCCGCGGTTATATTTCTGGAATATTTGTATTTGTCCTGACAGGCAAACGTCGGCAAATTGACCACGCTTTCGCTGCTTCAGTCCGGATATCGTTAAAAGAACCAAGGAAGATCCTGACAGGTCACTAGTCGACCCAACCAAGAAAATAGACAATGCAGAGAAAGAAACTACTGCAGTGTGTCGGAAAGCGTGGTCTACTCGAAACGAACATCGACGTGAATGGTCGTCCGTTGATGCGGTTGCTTCTGCATTGCTTGGTAAATTCGAATAAAATCTAGGCTGGCCGTGTCAAATGGTTCTGACATTAAATGAACGTCCGAGTGTCTACTCAGATGGTCAGCTGATGCTGTTAGATAGGCGGACATTTCAGACTTTGACTAAGAGTAAATTTATCGGTGAACTGATGTCAGTCGAAAGAGAGATGGTGAAGTGATTGAGGGCGGGAAAAGCGAAAGATATATGTAGAGTTCTAATGAAGGAGAAAAGATGGCGAGAAAGGAAGAGACGTAGAGAAAAGTTTAAGGAAAGCAAAGTGACGATTGTACAAACAATTTAGTGAAGGAATGAATGAAGTGAAGAAAAGAAGAAAAAAGAAGAAAAAAAAAAAAAAGAAAGAAAAGAACAACCGGAAAAACAGATTCAAGAAAAATAAACAGAAAATAGAAGATGAAATCATGGAGGAAGCAAAAGGTAAACAAAAGAGGCAAGAAAGTTGATATAAGTAAAAAGATGATTAAAAACATCAATGAATTATTTAGATTTTCATATGATCTTATTTAAAAGATCGTATCACATCTCCTTCAATTCATCTAGAAAACATGTCGTTCGGGCAGACATAAAGAAATACCCTTACGGTATAATAGGAAGGTATAATCATCAGTGTGATATATCTAATTATCAAGGTGGGGTATTAATTGAAAGTAGATATATAATACGGGGATGGAAAACAAAGGAAGAAAGAAGGTAATGAAAGAAATGAAGGTGTTACTTCGCATATAAAAGAATTAATTGCAGAAGGAAGATGAGAAGGAAAAAATAAAATAAGTATAAGGGCTTGAATTTGTAAAAGTGGAGGAAGGGGAAGAAATACATGTGAATAAAGGAAAATTAGACCAAAAAAGATAAAGGACATAATTTGAAAGAAAAAAAGAAGAAGGATTGAAAAAAGAAAAATAAAGAAAATCTAAACAGAAAGGCGAGAAAAGAAATATAAAAGTTAAAGAGGAAAATAGAATTATATAGAAAAAGCAAATTAAAGAGAGAAACAAAAAAGAAAGGAAAAATGATAAGAGAATAGAGAGATAGAACGCAATGAAAGAAAAGAAAAAGCAATAAAATGGTGAAAATCAAGATTAAAATAATTCCGTATATACCTCGAAACATTTAAGAGATGAATAGTGAGCATTAATTGTAAAACAGCCCGAAAAACGAAATAAAATGAATTGATTTTAATGATGTTGTCTGATGTTGAAGTCTTTCCATCTGTGATCTTGGTACCCCCAAAGAAACGCAATACGGTTTAAACGTATTTAACGTTTAAACGGTTTAAAATTAATTTTTAGAAATGAAAAATCTTTCTTGAAGCTTTTATTTTAGTTTTAATTTCAAACTAATAGATTAAATTTAATATTTTAAATAAGCAAAATACATTGTTGCATTTAAAAACTAATTTAACTTGACTGGAAGGAGATTTTGTTTGAAATCGCTGATTTTAGCACTATTTTTAGCCATCTGACAGCACAATGTAATTCTCTTTATTAAAATGTTTCAAAAATAAAATAAAATTTTCTGACACTTTATTTGAGGAATATTAGCTAATTTAAAGTTTAATTAATCTGATTTTAAACAAATATTACTTACTTTTATTTTAAAATATCTCAAATATACATTTTTAACACGTGGATAGCTGTTTATTTAAAGTGTTAACAGCTTGAGTGACAGACGGAAATATCTAATTTTTTTCTGTTGTGGCTGTATCTGTAGAGGAATATTACGTGAGTGCCTTTTTATATAATTTGTAACTGCCCAGTAATCTTAAAAATTTAGGAAAATATTATCCGTAATCAAATGTTTACTGAATTTTAGATACTTTGGCTTTAAATTTACTATAGTTATTGCTCTTATTTTCGGATAATGTTGTGTTTGGACGTCCATATTTACAAAACTTCGCACGTTTATACACACACCAAAAAATTCAGAATTCTTTTTAAAATATTGGGGGTCACTAAATTGTAGTAAACTTTTTCATTTATGATTAGTAAATATAGTTTTTACTTAATAACAATATCACCTAACCGATACAAATTAATGCAGAAATTTAAAAATTTCAAACTTTTTAAATTATTATATTTAAAATTAAAAAAAAAATGAAAACAATTCTTTTAAAAAAAGACAATAGTGTCCATAATATATCTTAACCATAAAATCAATTAAAAGCTTTTCTAAATAAATAATATCTTAATTTTATTGCATTTTTTATTTTACGATTCTGAGTAGATTTTTGGTAACTGGTGAAGCTGTTTTGGAAAATAAATCAATGATTTAAATTCTCCAAGGATTTCTGCATATAACTAATACAAACATTAAGCAATACAAAGATTAATTTCTCAAAATTTCATTAAATAAGTGCGGATTATCAGATGTAAAAACATATCTTTATCAAGATTATAAGAAAAAAGAAACATTTGTAAAATAATTTTATTCATTTGTGAATAAGTCCTGAAAGCTTCATCAAAACCCGACAATTATTTGATTTTTGTAAGAATTTCCAAATATATAAGTTTTTCATCGCAAAAAAGACGCTAAATTTCCTATACTAATATTCGGTTCCCCTGCTGACGCAAGAAAAGATTTTTATCAAAATTTCGAATGTTCTAAAAAGGATCAAAAATATAATTTAATAATAAAAAATCCTTTGGTGTTTCCTTTTAATAATAACATAAAGATATTGACGATAAAACTTTATTTTTAATAAGTTTGGGACATTTTTTCATCATCGTATGCTCATTTTTTAGCGAATATGTGGAGGTACTTATACTGTAATATGCAATGTACACTAGATCTTCAAAATGGCCAGTAAGAGATAATAGTTTTAAAGGAATCTTAAAGGCTAAATATTTGTGATGGTCGCAAAAAAAAAAAAAAACAAAAAAAAACCCTGAATTAATTTTAACGATTGTAGTTTTATCTCTTTTTAATATTATTCTTCAAAATAAAAATGGCCCATCACTTCTGCAGTTTCTTATATGAAATAAACCATATTCCTGTTTTGACACAGGTGTACAGAGATTACATTGTATGTCTTTATGCATGTAATAGACATTATTACAATTTTGCGGTTCATGGACAAGTGCTTAGACTAAACCTCGACAGCTACTTTGATGTGCACAACCACGGCCCACTAATATTTACGGCCCCACATGTCACATTTCAGGCTAATTTCTAACAGGCCTATTTTGTTTACTGTCAAATTGTCTCTTTTTCTAAGAGACAATTTTTTATCTAATTTTTTGTCCAAAATACATAAACAGGTCGTTTT